TACAAAACTTCGCAGTTTAAAAGCATCGCTGTCGAAAATATCGCGGTAAAAAATAAAGTATCTACAAATCATCGCAGACATGCTTTTTTCAGGTTTGAATAATTGTAAATAGATATTCCCATAATGATTTGTGGGCGCAAGATGTAGAAAAGGATAATTTCTACTTTCACATTTTTTTATTAACTAATACATTTTTGCTGAAAAAGTTAGAAGGAAACTTAAGCATAGAAAATTAAATGCAACTTATAGATTACACTTTTCATGAAAAATTACCAGTAGAAACTTCATAAAAATGATTTATTAATGGCCTTTGTTAGTTAACTATGTCAGTTTAAAATTCTATTAAGTGCTATAAGTTGCATTAATTTTCTATGCTTAAGATTCCTTCTTATTTTCTCAGCAAACATTTATTAGCTAATAAAAAATATGAAAGTAAAAGTTATACTTGTTTCCATCTTGCGCTCACAAATCATTATGGGAATATCCATTTACAATTAGTCAAACCTGAAAAAATCAGGTCTGCGATGTTATCGTCATGCGATGATTTGTAGGTACTTTATTTTTTACCACGATATTTTCAACGACGATGTTTTTAAACTGTGAAGTTTTTGAACTGCTTTATTTTCGATGACGATGTTTTGGAACTGCAAGGTTTTCTCTTTGCGATGTTTTTTAGCACGGCGTTTTCGCCTTGCATTGTTTTCTCGACGTTTTCGTCCGCGATGTTTTTGGCTGTAACCATGCTATTATTGTATACAAGCATCATTCCATTACAGACTGGCTTAAGGATAAAACTTCCAACAGAGTAGTTACTTCAATGTTCTTCTACATTTTAGTTTTGATATGAAATATAGAAAAAAGCTCTATTAATGTTCAAGCTGATATAATTACTCATAATCTCTTAAAATATTTGTGCCAAAATTTAATTTTCTTTCAAAGAAACTGAAGATCTTCACAATTCAGTTAACTTATATATCCATAAATTAAATAATGTTTGGATTTTTAAGAAATAGCTGAGTAAATAAATAAATCAAACAATGTAATGCTGGGTAATAATAGTAAATCAAATATTATAATGCTGGGTATAGTAATAATATATGCTGGTAATGTAATAAATGGTAATAATAATGCTAAGTATAGTAAATCAAAGAACATAATGCTGGGTATGACTAAAAAAAATCTGAAAGCTATGATTTTATATTACGCTCAAAGGGGCTTTTTTTTTTCCAATGTTTTATGCGTTACCTTTATTTATTAAATATGTTTTCGCACTTAAACTATAAAATTTAATTCAACAGCAATATCACAAAATAATTTAAAAACAGCATATCTTTAAAATTTCAGATAGTCTCGCGTGCTAGAGATAAAAAAATTTGTTTTCGTACAATGTTGCCATTACTTGCTTTGAAATCGTAGAGTTTCTTAATCAAAAACTCACAAATGCTTAACAAAATATGAAATAGATAATAAAACAAATTCAAAATTTGGGCTTCCAGATGCCCATATTCGGGTGGATGATTACATTATTCAAAATTTGATGGCTCTAGGTACCATTGTTTTATCAAAATGTTAGACACATACATACATTTATGAATATTTTTCATTATTTAATTTCTTTAAATGTAATACAGGGCAATATTTGATGGCAACAATTTGAAAAGTGAAATGCCATTTATAGTGAAACACCACAAAATGCTAAAACAAAATTGATAGCCCTTTGGGCTAATAATTACAAAAATAGTAATATGGAATGATAAAAATATTTTTTACTGAATAAAGATGAATGGAACCTCTTTTCAGATATGCCTTTGCCAAGTGTACAGTTTAATTCTTATACTATATGCAAAAACTAATGACTCCAGGTAAATATGTCTAAATTTAGAATAAAAATATTTCTTAAAAAATATCCCTTTAAAATTTATGTTCATATATAAGTTAACGCATGCAAGGTAACTTAAAAAGAATGAATTTACGCATTTGATAAAAAGTAACGAAGAAATGTCTAAGCTTATTGTGAATACATACCTCACTACTGCAATGACGTACTACTTTATGACTGCCTGGATCAACTGATATTACACCTTGTGCTTTTTCTCTAGGAATATATAAAGGACAATGTGTATAAGATATCCTAGTGGAGTTGTAACAGCGTCTTTTGGTAACATAGATGCGAATTTACTGCTATTGTTGCGTTTTTCTTTTCTGACACCAGTTGTTATGTTATTTTCTTTCTTCACGTTCATATGGGGTTCGTGTGGATTTGGAGTCAATAACAACGACAGCACTTCATGGAATATCGAAACACACCTTATTGGCCAGTATTGTCAGGACAGCTCCAAAACACTTACAATCGTCGAAGTCTACTTTAAACACGCTGGAACAATCAGCGACACAGCCTTCACGTTGTCAGGCAATAACGGTGGAGACAGCTTCACTGCAAAGCACCAGAGTACATCTCCTGACTCTGCTCAGTCATTCTTGGAACTCCATGTACTCTCGACTCTCCATGCTACAATGCGCGATGCACTCTATGACACACAGAGCACGGCTCCTGACTCTTCGGTTCAGTCGTTCCCGGAGCTCAACACTTTCTCTCCACAATGCACTAACCGCGATACACTAAGAGACTCTTCGGTCCACTCGGCACTCGCTGGCCGGCTGTCAACTCGATCATCTCTGCACAGAGTCACTCAATACTAACTAACTCTCCTGCGTACCAGCAAGGTTTATATAGCTTTTGGCTGGTGTTTGAGAACATTCTGGGGTAAACCGGTAACAATTCGTTTTAGAAGGTTCTACATCCGTCCACTGCATATCATCAATTTTGTCGTCAAATAGGGGATCTCTCCCTAAATGTGGCAACCCTAGAATTGCTTTGTGGGAAAGCAATCTCACCGCGCCTTGGCATTTTGTAACAATATATATGCTAAAAATTTAATCACATTTGTATGGCAGATCACACATAGAAAATTTGCAAACCATTATTCTGTAAATAATACTAATACTTCCCCTGCCCATATTTGATTTCAGATATCTTTATTATTTCCCTTATAACAAAATGCTTCTACATACAAATATGTATTAACTATTAAGCATAATAAGAAAGTGCCTAAAGGCATCAAGAAGCACCACAGAAACATGCTTAGGGAATCGGGTGAGAGACACCACAAAAACTTTCCGTTGGTGATTTTATCATGGAATGTATCATGCAACAAAGCCAAGACTGAAAAAGAAGGAATGGATGAAAACTGTCATAAATACAGGATATTTCACATATTGAATGAGACAAAAAGAAAGCATACCTATGAATACTGTAATTACTTAATTTTGACAAATCGAATTTACAGTGAAACTATAGTTATCCAAGTTTTTATAGTTGTTCTACCTATGCCCCTCCAATGACATGGCAAATTCATATGCGGTATTCCAGTTCCTGCCACATTTGTGATAGAATATCCTTTAATAATTCGAGCACTTCGTTTATAAGTTGCTTCATTTGCTGTAAGTCCTTTGGAAATGGAGGCATGGGCACTTTGTCTTTAACAAAACCCCATAGGAAAAAATCACAAGGAGTTAGATTTGGGGGATTTTGGTGGCCAACAAAGCAATGGCTATCATTTGACCCAGCATGGCCAATCCAGTGATGAGGTAGACTATTGTTCAGGTATTGACATGTTTTTATGTCTATGTGGTGGAGTACTATCTTGCTGCTGAACGAAGCCAAGAACCGCTTCCTCCAATTAAGCGAACAACTACTCTGATAGCATAGCTCAACCAATGCACTCGTTAATTTTGCCATGAAGAAAGAAAGTACCAAAATCACAACTGTAAGAAATTGCACAGAAAATGTTCTCAACCATCACGCTCATGCTCCATCAAACCATGCGGATTTTATGTGCACCAAAATTATGGTAATTAATTTTGCCAGAAACATGAGAAGTGCCTTCACTCATCAACACAAAGCTATGCAAAGCCATCTACCATCTTACAAATTCTCGCAGAAAGTTAACACAATGGTTTGTCGGAAAGTTTTAATGCCTGCACCATCCGAAAGTTGTTTGGCTGGAATTGTAGACGTTTCCATAACATACACCCCATGTTAAATGAGGCACACAGAGTTCAGAACTTGCATGATGCTTTGATTTTGTGCAATTTCGTAAAAATGTCTCAGGAATTTTTCAACAGTTTTGGTTTTGATAGCTGTTCATACCAGGCTGGTTTTCTTACATAAGCAGACTGTTCTGAAACTACTCTGCCCATAGTTAGACGCTGTAATGATTCTTTACCAAAGTTCGCATGAAAATGTCTTTGAATGATGATACAGTCTTAGTTTATTCCAAAACACAGTACGCTTTCTTCTGCATGAATGGTGCCATTTTGATTAACAGTGCCTCTAAATTGATAACTGGAAAAATTTTCACTGTTGGCCATATAAAACTTTCATAATTGCAGTTTCAGAATTAATTTGTTTCAGCTTGATAAATTAGTTACAGAATTTTACTATGGTATTCTCTTTGTCTCATTCAATATGAAAACCCTGTATACGTAAGTGCAACAAAATCTCATTAGTGCTTAAGGACTTGAAAAGTTTTAATCCAACCAACTTTATATACAAATTTGTTTTATGCTGTTTGAATTAACTGTTATATGTGTGTACACACACGCAAATGCAGTATATATGTATGTCTCGCAGGCTATCCTGCAAAAGGTCAGGCTACAGACATATCCAAATAATATCTGAAGGTATGTGGGTGGGCAATTCTACAATCTACTGTAAGAGGAATTACAGATACATAATAATTTTAAAGTATTATTTTTAAGGATGTTCAATACTTCGAGCTCTGTGTGTAATCTGTGAGTATACTAGCATGATACAGAAAGCATGTGCAACTTTGATAGGACTACGGTTTGGTGTACCATAGTCCTGTCATAATCACATCATCTCATGGGTCAGCATACCACAGTAATCTATTTATATGAAAATATAAAAAAAGAACACATTGTAATTAGTTTAATCTTTATTATTTCATATAAACCCCTAGCATAAAATCTTATATAAAATACAAAGTAGGAATTTTCTGAAGTTAAAAAAGGGTGGCATTTGCAACTTTATGACTGATGCAAGATAGTCAGTATTTGGGGATACTGTAGATCTTTAAAATAGAGACCTTTTTTTTTTCCAGGTCTGGATCAGTAATTTGCGTCTGCCAAAGCTGCTTGCATTTGTTATAAATGGCAATTTTTTTTCCTTCCCTGGGCAGAAGCTGTTATCTTTGGAAACTTGTCATGAGGAAAGTAATTTTTATGAAGGTTAATTAGTATAATATCTGATTTTTAGATTCAGAATAAAGTTCTCAGTTCAACTGATTCTATTTATAAAGAAAGTGGTGCTAGTTAAACATCCAAATGGATAAAAGATAATTTGCAAGTTTGCTTCTTGGCTTTTAAAATCACTGAACCTAATGCTGAATTCTTTACTAAAAAATTTCAGCTCGATCACAGTATTATCTGTCATGCACTCTATCACTTATCAGTTTTTCTAATATATATTTTTTAATTTTATTATTAATACTTTTTATTTCTAAGTATTCAGTACAAATGATATGGCTTCTGTTTCATAAGCATCATCTGATTAAAAATTTACAGATTGATAAAATTAAAAAATTTGCTTTTTAGCATTAAAGAGATAAAATTTTATCACTATTTTTTAACAGCTTGAATCTGTTAAAATTGAGAACAATTTACTCTTAATCTGTCTCAGAGAACAATTTAAAAGAAACAAAAAGCAAATATACAATTTTTATTTTCTTAACAAAATTTGAAATAGAATACAAATGTAACAATAATAAAAATGTGTATATTGGAAAATATGTAGCATAATGCATTTTAGTGATATTTTTTTAAAAAACATTTCCCAATTATAAAATATTTTACAGTTTTATACGATTTAATAAAAGGAAATGAGCTGTAAAGCATTATAAACCTCGAACATCAAGACACATACAACATTTCAACATACTAAACAAATTTAAAATATTTCATAAAAAGTAAATAAAGACATTTTAATACTGCTTCCAGAAAAGAAAGATCAATAGAAAAATATAGAAATATTAAAACATAAAAATTTCTCCTATAAAGTACTAAACAATATTTACTAAACAGATTCAACATTCACAAAATTATTAAAAATTATTTGAACCTCGTTAATACAGTAGAAAATGTTTTTTATGATTGTATATACTAGCATTTATATAACACACATTATAATCATACACTAAAACTGTAACGCATAAAAATATCACCACTTAGGATACATCTTACAAAAAGGTATATGATTATAAACTTCAGTTCCAGTAGGAAACTCCTGAACACAAACCCAACAAAAGTGGGCTTGGCATTTTTTACAAGTCATATGATCACAGCCTGCAGTTCGTTCAATAGCCATTTTACATCTAGGACACTGTTTGCATTCAGACACCGTCTGTTGCCAAACCTAAATATTAGATCTGAAGTTAATACACTTAAATTCAAAAGTAAAATAAAGACATATTTATGTGATCTAATATTAAACAGAAAGATTCACAATTGCACCAACCAAAGATATACAATAATTCAATTGAGTTTCAATGTTTAGATTTAAATCTCATTAATTGCCTTTACACTGTTTTGCCATAAAAAGTTTGCATAAAATAATTATTAAAATAATGGGAAAAGGCATTATTAATGATAAATCCCCACATAATTTTATAAATATTCAAGACCCTACAGTAGAAGCTATTCTAGATATTTAGAATTTATAGAATAGAGATTATTTATATAGAAAAATCATGTTTGAGGAGGTTGTAGATTTTAGTGGTCGCCCAAAAGGGTTTATGTTTTTGATCCTGCAGTCTATAAGGTCTGCAGTTACACTCATTCCTAACCTATTTTCTGTCTTTTTAGCTTTATTTTCATGCATAATTTTCTTTGTACTTATACGATACACAATTCAACAGTAAAACTAAAAATTTTAAAGGCAGTATACATTTAGAATTCCCAATGTAGTGTTAAGTGTTTGCAGACATTTTCCTGTTTTTTCAGTCTCCTCAGTTTATCATATAAATGTTCAGTTTTCTTATAAGATGGCTTTACGAAACTTTTTTTGTCTTTTTATTATTATCGTTTTTTGTGTTTATTTATTAAATATCCCATCCTTGGTGTTTACGCCACATAAAATTCAACTTCACAGCAAAATCACTAAATACTTAAAAACAGCATATCTTTAGAATTTTTCATAGACAGTCTCATGCACTGGAGATAATGCTTTATTTTGTACAGTGTTAAAACTCATCACTTTGAAATCACTAAGTTTGTTAATTAAAACTTCCTTAAAGTCTTAAAAATATAAAAGAGACAATAGAAAACAAATTCAAAATTTGGGCTTCCAGGTGCCCCTGTTCGAGTGGAGGACTACGTTATTCAAAATTTGATGGCTCTAGGTACCATTGTTTTTTCACAGTGCAAGGAGCACATATACATTTATGCAGATTCTTCATTATTTAATTTCTTTAAATATAATACAGCGTGGTAACAATTTGAGAAGTCATGTACAGTTTTTAGTGATTCAACATAAAATACCATTTTGATGCTAATATCTCATTTATTTCTTTTGGGCTAATAAACAACAGGCAATAGAATGGTTCTAAGAGAAACATTTTCTTCAGCAACTCTTGAAAAATATAATTTATTACAGGCTAATATTTATCAAGCCAAAAATTCATCAAGATTTTATTTACTTTCAATATTTGCATCTTGCACAATAGCAGGATTACCTAGATAATGCTTACATTTATTAACCCCCTGAGTAGCATGCCCTGAAATCATGAGATTTTTTGTCACTTGGTACATACAAACTTAAAATGTAAAATATTTTGCCTTCATACTTGCTTTAATAACATAAATATCATAATGAATGAAAGTTTATGAAAATAAAGAATAATAAGCAATTACAGATTTAGCTAATAAATGCTGCTTTGTAAGCAGATCCCAAAATCCGTGACACTCAGAGGGGAAATATTATCAGAAGTCCATGACTGATTTCAAGCTTTCTGGACAGGCATCCCAATTATACTTGTGTAAACGCAACATATTAATTTTATTTAAAATGTATTTTCCCGATTGGCAACAACAGTTTTTTTCAGAACGATAATATTTTGAACTGTAAGTTTTTCAGCAGTAATGTTGACGGTAATGTTTCTGAATAAAGCAAGTATTAACAATTAATGTTTTGACGGAATGTGTTTTTAATAAAGGAACTAATTAATTGCTAACATTTCAGAAGTGGGATAAACTAGAATTATTATCTAGATTTAACAACGTATTGCCTTAACGTACGCTAAGCCTAAACTGAATGCGGAAGCTCGCCAAAACTGAAAGTAGAAAGGTACGTGAATTTATAAACTGTTTATGTTATGTCTAAGTATTAAACGGAAAGAACTTAAGTATAATTATTGTATTAGTATTTGAAAATTGAAGTCTAAGATGGCTTATTTGGCAAGAGGCAAAAAATGTGATTTAAAAGAACTTGCTTTGGAACTTGATGTAGATGTCCCTTCCGATATTAAAATTGTAGGCTTAAGAGATACGATTTTGAATAGTAAGAATTATAACGAAGACTTTACTAAACAAATGCTAGATAGAATTATAAATGATCGTTTAGACAGGGAAAAGTTAGAAATTTTAGAAAAAGAAAAAGATAAGCAAAGAGCATTTGAAATGGAAATTTTAGAAAGAGATAAGCAAAGAGCATTTGAAATGGAAGAAAAAGATAAGCAAAGAACTTTTGAACTTGAAAAATTGAAAATAGAAGTGGAAATCAGAAGTAGTAATGTAAATGATTCTGTTCCTTCTAATGTTAGTAGAAGTAATATTTGTGATATGAGTAAATTAATGCATAAGTATGATTTGAATGAAGGTGATACAAGTTTTTATCTAGTTTTATTTGAGAGACAGGCACGACGTATTGGGTTAGAAGAACAAAACTGGGTTTCTCAGCTGTTGGGTCTATTGCCTTATGAAATAACTCAATTGCCCATGAATCAGAAGAGAAAGCTAACGACTATAAGCACGTTAAGCAACTGCTACTGAGAAAATTTAAGTTAAGCTCTGAACAGTTTCGGCAAAAGTTCGTTGATCATATTAAAACTTTGCGTAATACGTGGAAGGACTTCACGTTTGAATTAAAAAATTATTTTGAAGAGTGGCTTGCTGGATTAAATGTAACAGATTTTGACTCTTTAAAACAACTTATTATTACTGATCAATTAAAGAAGAGGGTCCCCGCTGCTATCCGAGACCATTTCATTGATGACTGGTCTAAATTCATTAATATTGAAGAGTTAGCTGAAAAACTAGATGAATATGAAAATATTCGGGCAGGGATAAAAGTACTTCAAGTAGAAAATAAAACTTTTAGGCATAATTCTAAGCCCAAATCTGGTTCTAAATTTTATGAAGGATCCTATAATCAGTATTCAAGACAAAGAAATGTTAACGATTCCATGCAGACAGATGGTAATTTCAAAGTGGGTTTTAAAAACAGTTTTGATAATAAATACAATCTGAGAGATAAGTTTTATAAAACAGACGAAAGGAAAAGGGAATATAATTCTGGCATCCGCAACGAAAAGGGCGAGCCAAAATGCTTCAATTGTAATGATTATGGACATATAGCGACGGATTGTCCACAGCCTAAAAAAGAAATTATTTGCAGGAAATGTAATGAAAAGGGTCATACTTTTAAAAAGTGTACGTCTAAGAATCCAGACTTGACAAATGTTAAAAATAATTTATCCGTGGACCAGAATTCAGGTGTTTCACCAGCTGTATATTTAAAGTATGCTCGCATCAATAATGGAGAAGAAATTACTGCAATCATAGATACGGGTTCTAGTTCGTGTTTATTGAAACAGTCTGCGGCTAAGAGACTGAATCTTATTGTAAAACCTGATGTGGAGGAATTGTTTGGCTTTGGGAACCAGAATAAACCAGCCGCTAGAACATTGGGAAAAGTAACTGTTAACTTAGAGATTGATAATGTGGAAGGAAAGGACATTACAGTTCTAATTGTAGGAGATGAAACGCAACCATGCGACTTATTAGTTGGTCGAACATGGATTGATTTACCGCATATTGCATACGCCAAGATAGGTAATACCTTGCACATACGCTATGCTAATGACTGCCCATTTTCACAGTTGCAAAATGATAGCAACACTCCGCGAATTAAACTGAAGGCTTCCCAAGAAACTCAAATCGAAAGTAATACGGTTAATTTCGTGAAAGTTAAAACTGATGAAATAAATAACGGTTATGTTTTAATAAGTGGATCGGAAGATGAGTTGGGCTCATTATTGGAAGTAATACAGGGAGAAACAGTGATACCAGTCACTAACTACAGCGATCGAAAACTAATTTTGAAAGAGAATCAATGTATCGGTAGAGCGGAAGTAGCAGAATTAGTTGAACCAAGTTCAGATCAGAAAACTGAAAATTCAAGTCAAAAGGAAATACTGATAATAAATGAAATTAAGAAGTTTAGGAGACCGATTACTTTAGAAGAAATTAAAGTTAATAACAATACTACGCCAGAGAGAAAACAGGAAGTTTTACATTTGATAAATGAGTATCGAGATTGTTTTGCATTAAATATGGAGGAATTAGGGTGTACAAACTTAACAAAAATGGATATTAAAGAAATTGAAGGGAGTAAGCCTATTTGCATGAAGTCGTATAAAACCAATGCCGAAGAGCGTGCTTCTATAAAGAAGATAATAAATGAATGGAAGAAATATGGAATTGTTACTGAAACAAGATCTCCGTATGCTAGTCCAGTTTTACTCGTAAAGAAAAAAACAGGTGAATTACGATTAGTGATAGATTATAGAAAGTTGAATTCGCAAACTGTTAAAGATAAATTTCCACTCCCTAGGATAGATGATCTTCCTTGAATGTCTTAGTGAGTGTAAAGTTTTCACTACATTGGACTTAGCTCATGGATATTTGCAGATTCCTTTAACTGAAGAAGCGAAACGAAACTGAAAACAGCTTTCATCACTCCAGATGATACTGGTCAATTTGAACGTATGATCTTTGGGTTAGCTAATGCACCTGCAGAATTTCAGAGACTTATGAATCAAATTTTAGGTCCATTGCTTAATAAAGAAGTATTGTGCTATTTGGATGACATATTAATTCCGGCTAAATCTTAGGAAGAAATGATGGAAAAACTTAGGAAAGTGTTTGATAGATTGAGAGAAGAAGCAATGCTGACATTGAAACTGACAAAATGCGAATTTGGAAAAGATGAAGTTGAGTATTTGGGATTTCTAATAAAATCAAATGGTATGCAACCTGGACCAAGAAAAGTACGAGCCATGTTAAACTTTCCTAAACCAACCAATGAACATGAAGTTAAACAATTTTTAGGTCTTACAAGTTTCTTTAGAAGGTTTG